AATATAAAAATGGTATTTTAATATCTTTTCATTTGTATAGTTTTATGACATTTTGGTTATTAGATGGGCTTAAAATGTACTTTTTATTGAATTATTCCGGATTGATCCCTATATTTGATTCAAAGATAAAAATTGATGGCAACATAAAAATGACATTTATTTTTACTTTTCTTCGGTAAGTCTTTATATTTTGTCACAAAATAAAGCGAACTTTCCGTTAGAGTTAAAACTTTTATTAAATGTTTTAACTTATAACAATTTTGTACTAAAATTAAGTCTAAAAATGTCTTTTAATGGCTTAATTTAGTAAAGTTATTTTAGTGATAAAATCTGTCGGAAACTTTTTCGACAAAACATTATTTCCAAAACTGAATTCTAAGACTTCAAGGATTTATTTTTCCATAATTGAAGTCTTATTGAAAAATGGGTTCAAATTTAGAATAATTACTGACAAATATATTGTAATTGAAGTCAACATTATTTAATTACAATTACTTAATCATTAGATTTTATAATATTTGAGATTATGTTTTAAACAGCGTTAGACTCTAAGATTAAATGAATTGTCGGATTCAATGTTAAAACCTATTTCTATTTCAATGAACCAAATATTCGGAAAATTATTTGTGAATAAAGTCAAGGAATAGTTAGGCAATGGTTTAGATAACATAGCATTCGGTTTATATGTATTTTTCCACTATTTATTGACTCTAATGTTCTGAAGATTTTTGTTTTGACTCCTATTTTGTTGAATATCTTAAAAAAAGATTTTAAATGAATTTATTATTAGATAATAATCTAATAAATAGTAAAAAAGAACCGTTTATTTTGAAGGGCAATACATAGTGTTTTAATGTATAATCCATTCAAATAAGACTTATAAACCTGTTGAGCAACATTTCAGACTTACTTTTCACTAATGATTAATGTATTCATGTATTCTATATTTCATACTAAATTGTCAATTTTCTTAACATTTAACAATTATTATTAATTTGTCTATAATTAAAACAAAAATGAAATACTTTGCAAAGACTTTCGTTTTGTTTTTAACAATTTGTGTTTAAGATGTTTTATACAGTGTTACAATAAATTTAATTCTAATTATGCTTTAATAATAATAATATTGTTAATAAGATTATCAAAGAATTGTGTAAAGTAGAAAATATACAAATAAGTATAACTTAAAAATTAAGTTTTGATGAAATTATGGAAATGAAAATATAGAGCAAAATACTATATAATTATAAGAATTGAACCGATCTTTGCTTAACTCCGGAAGTTATCCGAAAAATGATAAGAATTTAAAATTAAAGTATTTGAACGGAAAGTAGTATAAAATGATAGCATGTTATACACCATTACTTTCACTATTAAACTATTTGGGGGAACGACTCAATCAAATTATGAGAGCAGGATTTTCCGCTGGGGGTCGACCTATTTATTTCATATAACACTCATGACTCCTATCGTTGGATTCAATTTATTTTTTAATTTTCATTTTAAACTGAGGATAAGATTTTTGAAAATCAAGTCTAAAATTGAATGCATTTTTGGGGTTTTAATTCGTGTGAATAGAGTGTAGTTACGGCACAGACTATCGTGTGATATGAATGTCATGTTTTACTATTATATGAATTATTCAGAATACCTGCAAATCTATTCAATATCTCTATACATATACTGTATATGATATATATTATACGGTATATCTTTATCTCTTTTGCCGGTATTTAATAGTTAATGAATTCATACAACTTCTCTATCCATTCACTTAAATATTAAACTCAACATCAAATTCATAGGAAAATCTCCACAAAAGTTCAAATGAATTGAAAGGTTTTATGCTTTAGATTACTATTTGAGGACAAATACGTGACCGGCTTTGAGTACTCGACAAATATTGGGAACAAATCTAAAATTAATTCAAATATTTTATTCATTTGTTATAAAGTTCACAAAGAATTCACTAATTAATGGATTTTTGGCGAAAATAAAAGAAATCATAGAAACGGTGAAAATATAAATAAATTAATATTGAAAAATTAAAAAGTTTCTAAAAATATTTTTACTAATAAATTGATAACTACAAAAAATAAGACACCATTTACTCTATTTGATTAAAATATCTATTAATACAGTTTCCAATCTAATAATAGTAAGGCCATCAGATAACTCGTGAATAAATTATAACTTTCCAAACATTTTCACTACATTTTGATTGAACTCAAGATTGAAAGGACTGATCGGATCTGAAGATCTCTTAGATATCAAAAGAGTGTTTCAATTTCAGTGCTTAACTTATGTGACTTTTTTCACGTTCTCTCGGTTTCTAATTATAATTTTTCATTTTAATAATAATCAATAATTTATTAAAAATTCTTTATTTTGCTTTTATTGAAATATTTTTATACATAAATTATATTTATATACTATCTCTAAAACATTTATACCGTATATAGATTAACTTACAGTATATATATACAATATAGCGTATTACTGTATATCAATAAAAAAGCTTGCATAACAACTAAAGTGTTTGTCAGAATAAACTTTGACCATAAAAATGAAATATAAATAATTTATTTGTAAAAGAGTTCATATAATGGTGTGACCTATCCTTTCATCCTTTCCAGGGCGGCTCTAATAAGTAACAGTGAAATACATTTGATTTAGTTTTCACTTCAAATTGGTTTCAATAGTGAATGCATAAGAAGGACACAAATATCACTCACTTTTACAGATGAATCGGTGTTCACTCCAGTGCTCTCTCTTGCACTGAGAGCTGCAATAATTGACTTTTGAATATTAAAGGAGTCATTAGGATTAAGAATCAAGAATCTCAAGATTTAGGAATATAAGAATTGAAATTTATACATGATATTTAGTGAAAATATTATTTGAATAATAATTAGCTATTTGAATATAGTATCAAATATTAAGAGCGAATCGCTTGGCGGCGGCGACTGCTATACATTCGGGACATTAGGTCGGCGCAGACCAAAGTCCCAAATGTATAGCAGTCGGCGTAATACCCGTCGTAACAAATCGATGCGAAAACTGATACAAAAATTTTAGATACAAATAAATACCGGTACAAAAACTTACAATAAATACTATATCATTGGGTGGATAGTATACGCTTACTGTCCACCCAATGCTATGGTATTTGAGAAACTCTTTAATAAATAAATAAATAAATAAAATTATAAATTAAATATTTTTAGGCTGAGAATAAATATTTATAGTCTTAATTCATTTGGCCTGTCATATCAATATCATGTTATAAATTCAATTCATTTCAATAAAGCCATGCATTACAATACCTTTTGAACAGATGTAGCATTTGAGCAAAGGTTTGTTATAACATCCCGGGTTATCGCACAGGGAGTCAAGGCTCGCCGCTTTATTTCGCCAAATAAACATCATTTTATATGATCGTACATTAAAATAATTATTTAATATAATAATAAATGATAACATTTCGCAACTGTTTCGCACACACTTAAATCAATAACTAATTAGTAACCCAGGCACATATCTAGTCATATGTCTTATACTGTACACTATTTTCTGTGGAAATAGATGTAAATTATAGAAATATAATTGACTTACAAGTAAAAAAATTTGGCATTTCTTCCAATTGGCCGCTTTCTACCTGCGATTGGAGTTGTATTTTGCGGCAAAGTCTGATCCGACTTCGGGGGGACACTAGTGGGGACACCATTGGGGTGGTTGTCAAAGATAGAGGAGAAGTTGTCATATATTCTATAAACTAAACGACATGAATGACATGAACTTCTCACTCAAACTAAACCCATACCAATACCTCTATCATCCCGTCTCCTCGGAGTCCTATCCATTGCATAACTTCTTTCGTCCCTTTGGTTTGTATTCCTATCGAAACCATATCTTGTTTTATCACTAGTTTTAGATGTGGATCCGTATATACTACTCGGCTTTGGATTATTTCTTGGAGTACTTCCATAAGTAGATCCATAAGACCCGTAAATACTAGTCTTTCGAGGAATACTTCTGGAGGTTGAGCCGTAAACACTATCAGTTTTTTGCGACATTGTCCGTGTATTATGCGAAACAGTATTTATTTGCAATCGATTTGATTCATAATTATCGTTGCCTTTGAGGGCATTGGCGGCTCTGATCTTATTTTTGCTTCGGTAGCCGAAGGGAACGGAATCAGTTCCGGCGTTAAACTTAATGAATATTCCCTGAGTTTGGTAGACCTGATCGACGGGTGTAAACGACTCGTTCATCACAACCAATCGATACGATTCGGACAGGAATTTGAATTTACGTTTTGCACAGTTTCTGATGGTCTCATCATTGGATTGAAGCAAATAGTTCCTCAACTGCTCCAAAGTCATCCGCCCTCTCGCCGGAAGTGTTATCCTTCCGATGCACTCCTTTTTGGTGAACGGATTCACGTCTTTGATTATATACAGAAAATACTTTCTCTCGGAGTCTACTCTAAGATTAACACCTCTTTCGTCAAAATAGTTATCATTTTCATCGATAACAGCGCCGGGAATGTTAGCCCAACTGTTGTTCGGTGACGTCTGAACTGCCGCTGAATGTGATGAATGCGAAGACCCGGGACTTCTGACCACTCGGTCGGGCGATACACTCTTTTGTGGCGATGAATGTCCAAATCCTTTCGCTTTTGTCATTATATTAGATGCGGTGGATATGGCAGTAGAAGGCATTTGTTGTGTAGGACTTGATTTTCGTGACTTTGAAGGACTGTTAACTTTTTGTTCATGTTTTGACTCAATCTGTTGGTCACTTGATTTATAGTCGGAATCGCTATTCTCTACATAATTATCGTCTGAAAACAAAAACTCTATTAAAAACTCACCGTTTATTGCAATCACTTATTAATATTTTTACCATCGATTTCGGTCAGAGTCTCCAACATGTGGTTCTCAACCTGGTCTTCATGTTTGGCTTTATATTGCGGTTGATTTGGTACCGAATCATTCAATTGATCTGTAAATTTAGAGACCGATGGACTATCGGTTGGGTTATAATGATTGCCTGTTGGGTTGATGTCATGTACACTACCCCGGGCACCACCCGACAGTCGGGTAACACTTTGTACTTTAGTCATCGGGGACTTTATGGAAGTCTTTCGAGTTTTGTCGCCAGAATTGTCGACCGTCTCGTCGTTATTATCACTTTCGGTAAGTCTTTTGTGTTCACTCTCTATATTAAAAATATTTTCTTTCGTCGTCTCGTTCTTGTTGTCCATCACATCCTTTTGGACTTCTTGTACACTATGTTTGGATGATTTTCCCGAAAACAGGGACTCTTTGTCAGGATTGCGAATCCGTTGTCGCCCTTCAAATGGATTTGATTTTTGAATTAATAAATGCATTATTAAATTATTTTAAATGAAACAAACTTTTTTTGTTTTTCCAGTAACAGTATATAACAAACGCAATGAATAGGAAGACAAGAATTGCATTGATAATAATGGCCGCAATCCATGGTATGGGCAGTGAATCTGAATCATTGTCAATGATTTTGCTTTGCTTTTGATACTGAAGTTGAGGACTCTTTGATAAACTGTTGTCATAATTCACATCGATGTGGAAAACGACAAAACTTTGATTTTCAACACTTAATGGTTTACTAATTGTTGAATTTATAATAGGATTTGTTTGAGAAATATTCTCTAATAAATCACTAATTATTTTCATCAGTAGATGAATGACTAATAATTATAATTATAGAGAAAAAAATTCTTAATTAAATGCAATGAAAGCATTATTTGTGAGCTCAGACTTTGATGATTTGAAAATTGAAACTAAAGTTAAATAAAACCAATGGAACGGAACAAATGGCTGGGAATGGCATAAATGGTACTCAAATTAAACCGATATTTAATTTGAGACCAAAAAGTATTGTCTGTTTAATTGGATAATTGGGTCGACTATCAAAGACATTGAGTCCAGGATTAGCTTTTGCGCAGATATTGGACGTGAGGACCGAATAGATAACGAGAGAAATACTAAAAAAAGTTAATTATTAGTTGGATATTGGGCTCAAAGATCACGTATTATTCACACAACAGTGAATACAAACATAACTACAAAACTGAATACATAATCAAATTCACGATTTTGTGGTGTCAACAGTTAGACAACACAGACCGCACCCCAAACCCCAATCCATACCCTAACCTACTCTTCCATAGTATCCCTGAGGATCCGACAGAATATATACGGAATCATAGGAATCATAGGAATCATACCCGACTTTTACTATGTTTTTAGAAATTGATAAATAGTTTTAGTTTTTCATTTTCGACACAAATAATGAATTATTTCACATGCAAAACACATTCATTGAAACCTAAAATATGGGATATTTTTACATTTACTACACAATCATAATTGCAATAATTTATTGTTTTGTGTAATATATACGGAACTCAAAGAAAGAGAAATAAAAAAGAATTATTAAGTCCGAAATTGATGTCTAATAAAAAACACATAAAAAGTCAATTAATCTATTCATTAAATTATTGATAAAATATTAAAATGAGAGTTGAATTACAGTAATATTTGTGGTCATTTAAAATGTGTATATATTTGATACGCTTTGATAGTATTCTAATTGTAATTCTATATTACAGTAATGGCTATAAGAATAGACAGAATACAGAATATATACAGAATATAATATTTATATCCTATAAGTGGAGTATTATTTTGAGTAATTGGACGTAAAATGAGTGGACACGAGCTTTACTGTAATGAACAGCAATGAGAATCCGGGACAGAAAAGACACTAAAATATATCATATATGAAAAAATAGGACAAATGAATCGATTTTCATTTCATAAAAGCCTATTTATACGATATATGAGTGAGAGTGTGGGCTAACACACACACTGTTGTCTATAAATAATACGGTTCACCGAAAATTGAGCTTAAGATCCGTCCAATCTATGTATTAATGGCTTTTGTATATCATTTGACAAAACATATCAAATATTTCGACAATTACTGAATGATGTGGCATAGGATTTGTTAAATTGACAACAAATAATTCAATACGGTATTTTACTGTATTCTGTACATTAATATCATATAATCCTATTATAACTTTAATAATAGTGTATTTTCTGTACAACAAAAATGATGAAAATTAATGAGAATTAAATTTTTGTCTTATTTATGAAATGTTTTAACCTTTAGGAAGATATTTCAAAATCTCTTTTTACATAACTTTTAAATTAAATTCAATAACATTGAAAAATTGTAAAATGATGAAAATTAATGAGAATTAAATTTTTGTCTTATTTATGAAATGTTTTAACCTTTAGGAAGATATTTCAAAATCTCTTTTTACATAACTTTTAAATTAAATTCAATAACATTGAAAAATTGGCGGTCATTTACTAAATCTTTTGTAATCCTTTATGTGTTGAAATCAAAACTTTTATTAAAATATCAAAATCATAAATATTTTTCATTTTGATTTATTTTTCAAATTAATCAGTTATTCGATATTTTATCAAATATATTTGACTTTAATTTATTTTAGATAAATTATTTGCAATGATTAGAAAAATTGTATCCATTATAATTGTCAATATATCAATACAAGTCATGTGAATAATTATCTAATTAATGGAGTTATCTTCACATCATATGAGTTCCACTTAAGTTTACAAACAATTCATTCTAAAGTCTTGTTGTCAGATGACTTAAATTGTCATTTGATAGCAATGTACTGTACGCTCAGTTACAGGTCATTTGAATTTGAATGTTTTTATTGTAAAAGCTATAAAAATATCATCTTTAAATAATGTTTTAAGAATTTATAAAAAATAAAATAAAGTTAGAAATGAAAAATAATTACACTTTTACCGTTAATTTAATTGATTTCCCAATTATTGTTTATCATTAAACGATTTAACCTGTAGCTAAACTAACTTGTAAGTGGAAATAAAATAAAACTATTATTTACTTATTTTAACTTTGTGTTTTTATGTCATTTAAATAAACTATCCTAATAAATTAATTTAAATAAACAAATTTCTAGTCAATGAAAATAAAAATTAACAAAAGTTTATAGAATTATGAAAAAAAATGTCAACCTCTTATTGGATACAATATTTAATAATAATAAAACTCAAGGAAAATTTAGAATAAGAAATAAAAATTGTATATAAGTGTCTCTAAGAGTCTATTTTTAAAATAAATACATATTATATTAATAATGAAGTTAAATTCTTTACATTCTACAATATCTGTTATAATTGATATATTATCTATAATATACAATATAAAATTACCTAAAATGTTAAACTAATTATAATAATACATGAGTTGATAATGTTCTACACAATAAAAGCACTATGCATTATATTTAATAAATAATTTACTACGATAATATATTTATAAATAACTCAAAATGACATGAAATAGCGAGAATTTACGTAAATGTAGGCTAAATTAGGATTCATATGACTAGAATTTAATGAATTCTAAAATGTTTTGTTTTAAATCTCACAAAACTTTTAAATAAATTTATAATAAGCAAATTAGTGTGACTATAAATACGAATTTTTCAAATAATTTTAAACATTATAAAAAAATTAGAGCTTTTAATGCCTTATTATAAATGAATATTGTTTAAGACAAATATTATGACAGTAGTTAAAAGTATGTCTAATAACGTATTAATAGTTTATAAAAACGATGGAAATTGAGATGTGATGTCAGAATCGTTTATAAATAGAAATATATTGTGATATATGTTGTTATTAACATTTTCGACGTCTTTCCGATAGATTATTGGTTCAATCAAAACATTTTTTGTCAAACATTTAATCAATTTTTCATTTTTTTGTAAACTATTTTTAGACATTAAAAGCCAGTAAAATAAATAGATATATAACTAAATTCCCAGAAGTAATACAATTAAAGGAGCGATAAAAATAAATAGTCTTTTTGATTATTGTGAAAAACCATTTAATAGATTAAAATATATCTCAAACATAATGTTCAAACGATTTCAAATAAAAAATATTTTAGACTTTTATGATATTTGATTTCAATATAATAAGAGTATATTTGAGATGAGAGTAGAAAACAATACAACAAACTAAGAATGTCTTCATTTATCAAATAAATTGTAAATAACTTTCAAAACAATTTATTAAACATTTTAATCATATTTTGTAAAAAGACATTTACAACAAAAGTAGACATAAAATAAAGGGAACTTGTAATCACAACTCTTGTGGTGTGAATTTCCATATCTTGACGGAACAGTCATCACCAGATGTGGCAAATATGCCATTGATTTTAGGATTCCAGTCAACACTATTGACATCCATTTGATGGGCCTTTTCGTGCTTAAGAACCACAGAAAACCTCTGAAATGTTTTGTCACTAAAATCACCGCAACTTTGGATGTGGTCTTCTTTGAAGACAATGATAGTGTCGTCTCCGCCGGCCGTCAGTATGTAATCCGAGATATGAGACCACGAAATGTCATAAACGGGTCGACTGTGGAAACCAGAGAGAGTGGACACACACTTCCAGTTCGTTATGTCATTATTAACTGATTGCCATATTTTAATAGTCTTATCACTACTACTGGAGGCCAACCGCTCGCCAGTCGAGTCGAAAGCAATGCCCCAAACGGTAGACTCGTGTGAACTAAGAGTCGCACAACAGATCCAGTCGTCGCCGTCGTCTTTGTATAGCTTAACGGTGTTGTCGTAACCACAAGAGGCCAACACGTCTTGAATCGGGTGCCAAACCACTCGCTTCACATCTTGCGAGTGATCCGTGAGAACAGACGCGCACTCAAACTCTTCGTTGCCATCACTGCCACCACTTCCGTCAATCACTTCCCAAATCCAAACAGTCTTATCGCGACTACAGGTCGACAAATACTTCCCCGACTGAGACCAACAGACACTCTTCACTTCATTCTCGTGTCCCTCAAGACTTATAACGCATTCCCATTCCTCCGAGTCTTCCTTTCGGTGCCAAACACTTGTGGTCGCGTCGAAGGAGGCGGAGGCCAAGTACTGACCCGTCGGTGACCACGCGATCGCTCGGATAGTCCTCTGGTGTCCATCACTCAAGATGTATTTAGTTCTCCAGACATTGCCTTCAATTGCAATCAAATTGATGAGCAAAAGGCTTAACCATATCATCACTCAATGCATACCTTCTTTGGCCCACAATCTGATGGTCTTATCGGCGCCACAAGAGGCCAGAGTGTGTCCACTCGGATGCCATCGCACGCACCAAACCCTGTCGTTGTGTCCAAAGAGTTCTGTTACCAAATCCAAAGACATTTGAAGGCCTTCTTAGCCGTCAATGGTTTGATCAATAATTGAAGACTTCTTTGACTCAATCAACAAATCATTTGAAACTTAATTATAATAACAATTAATTGCAATAAAAGTCACATTTTCTCAACAAATGATAGCATCTGTTGTGCAAAGCGTGCCCTCAATCGGACCCAAACACAAACTCTGCAAACATTACATTCACTCAAACTTTACCACAATTGCCATCAATTGAATCCCATTATCTTGTTTGTGTCCAAAGTGTGAACGCCTTTGGAATTAAGTATAAGACACCGTTCAAAACAATTTAAAATATTTTTTATTCATAAATATATATATTTTTACAATTATTTCATTAAAAATTAGTTGAGAATAATTCACTTCTGAAGCCAATGATTGCGATAATTATCAACACAATAGGGACTCAAATGGTGTTCTCAGGAGTGGAGGGCTCGACCGCCGGTTCAACCGGTGTTTCCGAAGGGATCGATGATTGCACTGAAGGCACGAACAGACTTTTGGCCCACAATCTGATGGTCTTATCGGCGCCACAAGAGGCCAGAGTGTGTCCACTCGGATGCCATCGCACGCACCAAACCCTGTCGTTGTGTCCAAAGAGTTCTGTTACCAAATCCAAAGACATTTCAAGGCCTTCTTAGCCGTCAATGGTTTGATCAATAATTGAAGACTTCTTTGACTCAATCAACAAATCATTTGAAACTTAATTATAATAACAATTAATTGCAATAAAAGTCACATTTTCTCAACAAATCATAGCATCTGTTGTGCAAAGCGTGCCCTCAATCGGACGACAACACAAACTCTGCAAACATTACATTCACTCAAACTTTACCACAATTGCCATCAATTGAATCCCATTATCTTGTTTGTGTCCAAAGTGTAAACGCATTTAGAATTAAGTACCGAGTTAATTAAGTAATTAGACACCGTTAAAAACAATTTAAAATATTTTTTATTCATAAATATATATATTTTTACAATTATTTCATTAAAAATTAGTTGAGAATAATTCACTTCTGAAGCAATGATTGCGATAATTATCAACACAATAGGGACTCAAATGGTGTTCTCAGGAGTGGAGGGCTCGACCGCCGGTTCAACCGGTGTTTCCGAAGGGATCGATGATTGCACTGAAGGCACGAACAGACTCGGGGTCTCAATACCTGCCGTCTCCTCGTATTCGTCGCGCTTTCGCTCCAATTCTATGAGTTCTGTTGTCTCCAAAACTGTTGATGTCTTTGATTTACTCTTCTTTTTGCTTTTCTTCTTCTCTCCGTTCAGTTCCAGAGTTTTCGGTCGTTTACTCTTCTTCTTGGAGGTCGTGTTGTGCGCCGACGTCTCGACGGACTCCACATTCACTAACAGATTGTCCCCATTCTCTAAGAGTAAGTCTTCATTCTCTTTGGGTTTAACTCTCTTTTTCTTCACTTTCTTTTCAATCTTCTCTTCATTTTGTGTCACTTTTTTGGAACTCTTCTTCTTCTTCTTGGGTTTGTCTTCAGTTGCGTTCAAATCTTTTGAATGTTTCGAAACGTATTTATTGCTCACAAAATCCGATTCACTGAAAGTGATTTTTGCGAGAGCTTTGTGGGGGTCCTGTGTCTGACCCTCAGCCGAGTCCTCGTCGCTCTCCAAGTCGTTGGCGTCGACTCCTTCCGGCATTTCTAAGCCTTTTATGGTAACGATTTGATGCACTTCTGTCTCCTCCTCGTCCTCTTCTTCTTCCATTTGTTTCTTTTTACTCTTTTTTGTTTTCTTAGGTTTTGTTTTCTTCACATAATTTTGCGACGAAATGAGTCCCGGAATGGCATTACTTATGACTGGCGTCACTATATTAGGGACCACTTCTTGGGCCTCTTCTACCACTTCGTCAGCCATTTCAATGTCTCTCTCTTTCTTTGATTTTCTCTTCTTTTTCGATTTGGAACTCGATTTCAAATAATTCGGATTTTTGTCGTTTTGGGCCTTCCTTTCGTCAGCCATCCGTCTGTTGTGTTGAATCTGTTCTTCGGATAGAATTATCTCTTCCTCCTCTTCTTCTTCTTCTGCTCCAAAATGCATTTCTTCGATGGTTTCGTCCTCTGAGTCGTTATCGTCGAACTCAACGAATGGCAGATCGAGTTCGAGACCCACAGGAATCGGCACTTTTCGCTGTGCTTTAGCGGCCACTGGATTGAGTGCATACGCGAAGAACAGTTGCTCCACATTTAGGTCTTCGCTTTTGATTATTTGAATGATTTGCAGAAAACTTGAAGCCCTTTCCTGTACTTCCAAGTCTTCGTTCGTTAGAAAATGTGGTAAATGTTTATCAATTAATTCGTCGCAAAGCTTATAAAAGTCGTCTGTCTTTTCATTTGACATTTTGGACAGAATTTTGGAAGCGTTTTGAAGAAATACGGCTGTTATGTGAGCCGGGAATGCAGTGGTGGTCAACAAATGCAATAGAGTTTGCATTTGGTTTGGAATGAAACTAGAAATTTACAAAAATACCAAACATTAGACAATTGGTGACAAAAATACGAATGAATGACAGACTCAGCGAATTCGCCGCATATCCAGGCGGCCGCGTATAGCACTTCACACACCGACGAGTTGTTCAAAAAGAGGTGAGAGTTCTCCAGTAATATGGCCTACGATTCACATTTCGTTTAATTACAAAAGCAGACAAAAGTTATATAATTATCACAAACCATATGTCGGGTGACAAAGGATCGGATGGCTTCGACTCTTATGGCAACGTCTAAAAGTTGTTGAGCGATGAGACCTCCGTGTTCTGTACCCCCTTCCACACGCGACAGTTCCACCAACACTGTTATATACCTATACAACATATCGTCAAATATAGTGATTAACTATCATTGCAATTGTATTGGTTTCATACCATTCAAAATTTGCTATAAATTGATAGTCGTTTTGAGAACAAATATCAATAAGTTTTGCAATGATTTCATCTCTATATTTGTTTCCCATTTGACTTTCATTCACATTAACCAACAATTTCTGCACGATTTCCATCAAATTCTTTTTGGTAACCATTCCGTACAGTAAGTCGAGAGCTC